ATCTGATGTTATTCATAATGAAGAAGGGTTATCTTGTGGTCAATACAGCACCATTATTTTTAAGTTAGAGGTACAACTGCTGAAAATATACAGTGGCCATAACAACTTCCCTGACTAGATTGTGAAAAAGGGTTCACATAAAAAGCATTTTATGAAATGGTACTCCCATTTCCATGATCAAAATTTACGGCTATTCCTATCCCTTAAACAACCCCAGGTTTTATTCTATCCAAAATAGGGAGCCTTCCTAGAATGAAAGGAGGCTGGCCTGGGTCAACCACTGTAGTCCCTTCCAGCCCCACCCATTCTATGATTCTGTGCATTTAAAGTTGTAGGAAAATTACAAGAAAATATATTTGGGGGAAATTTCCTGCTAAAAGCCTATGTGCCAGGGAATGGCGCTCAGACCAGCTTCTTTGTGGGTCTGCAAAAGAAGAAGCTTTTGGGCAACTGCAAACATGTTGTTTATAGTCAAAACCAGCAAAGCAGTCCCATAAGTTTTCCTTGTGGCACTGTACAGAACCTATGGAAATTACAGCTTCCTTTGAAAGGAAAATGCTTTTAAAAAACATACAGAAACAAACATGTAAGAAACAAGTGGGCTCAGATATGGTTCAAGTTCCAATTAATTGTCTTCATTATTTGTTCCTGAGCCTGGGCTAGGCCTCTCTGTAGCACTGGGAGGGATTAATCTCTGAAAAATTTAGGCACCTGTGCATCTCCTGGCTGGCTATGTACCTTTCAGTGTCAATGAAGAGATTCTTCTAGATAGTGATTTGTCTCTGGTGCCTTAAGTGATTCACCCAGATCCCCCCAGCCAGTCCCGTAACAGAGACTCCCTCAAAGGCCAGCTGAGAATAATTGGCTCATTTGTGTCTAAGCAGACCCCAGGACAGCTGGAACCTGGACTTCCCTATGTAGCTCAATCACCCTGATTTCACACTCTCTGTCTGTGGGCTTGGGACTCTTATTTAAGCTCAAAACAAGAGGTATGGCTCTTTTGTGCTGTGTCTTGTGTTCCTTACTGGAGTGTTTTATTGGTAAAGATTTCTAAAGACCGCCTACTGGCTGACCTGATTTGCCACTGCCAGCCTATTCTGCTCTTTTTGAGTGCTGTGGACATCTCTGCTTCCTGGATTACCTGACCTCAGGGAGTGTGTGCAGCCTTCCTCCTGCTTCTTGAACAGGTACTGCCAAATATATGTTACTAAGGTAACTTTCTGCTGAATTGGTAAGAGTTAAAAATATTTAGAATGTCACAGATAGTATACTTGGCATTGCTGAAATGCTATTACTATTATTTTGGCTTGACAAAGGAGACAAAAGTAATAGAAAGACTGGGCAAGCACAGTTTTAATTCAAGTATCTCTAGTGGTTAAAATATAGTTATAGGGAGCTTTTTTGGTCATGAAGAGCAATGCTGGACCAGTCATCCTGTTGTGAAGTTGCTGTAGGTTCCCTACTGAATCTGACAACAGGTCTTTGAGTTCTGATACAAATGTAATTTGTTTATCCCTGAAGCAGGTTATTATTTTTTTGTTTGTCAAATGTCATTAAATGGTTTCTAAATGGCACTGTCACGTCACATGTGGAAATATTGCCTTCCTGTTTAGTTTCCAGCATGCTGTGTGGCTGTCCTTGCATCTGTTACTTTGTCCAAGTTTGTCCATGCTGCACATGATAAGGCTTTCCTCACATTTTATTACCTTGGAGTTGTTTCTTTGCCAGAATTTCTAAACAAAAGTAGGAGTGCCTATATGTCTGTAGGGACAGAGAGAAGTGAATATGGTGTCCTGGGTCTTCAGTGGTGCTTAAGTCAGGGGGACATCACCAGTGAAATGGGGGAAAGTATAAGAAGTGTAAGAAAGTGAGAAAATTGGTATGTTGAGATAAAGACAGATTGATAGGTAAAGTAAAAACTCTGTGTGAAAGCAAAGCAAAACAAGGAATTCATTCACCACACTCCATTGGTAAGCAGGTGCTCAGCATCTCCAAGAAAGCAGGTTGCCGTCATACCTAATGGTTTCTTTGGAAGAAAAGTTACATCACTCTGAATGTCCCTCCCTTCTTTTTTCCCCTGATTTATGTGCTGAGCAATCTGATAAAATGCTGTGTCCTAATAAACTGTCCTCATCCTTAAGGCATTTCTCTTAGAGCATATTTTGTGGATTGCTTGCCTATTCATAAAGTAAACAGTTTCAGTGTTTTCCTGTGATCTTAGCTGCTTGATCTGGGCATGGCTGTTTATCTTGTGAATAAATTCTAACAGCATGGTCTGCTTAATTGCTTTGTAGGTGACGCTTGCTATTTTGTGCATGTGAATATCCTGAGACACTTCTCTCTGAGCACAGGTATGCAGACAGATAGGCCTCTGTATCAGTCTCTTGGCCCTCAAGGCTGTGACTCTTCAAGTTACTGAAAGAGAAGTCGATTTTGGTGTTACAAAAAAGAGCAATGGGAGCTACCCATTCCATTAAATAAACATTCTCCCAACAAATGCCTGGATGTTGTTTATTTTTGGTTTTTTAATGGTTTGGGGTTTTTTCTGTTGTTTTTTGGGGGGGGGGAGTGAATTTGGTTTTTGGGGATGTGTTGTTGGAGGTTTTTATAGCTTAAATTTTTTGACTATTTACTCCTCCATAGAAGCATTGCATAGGTATGAATAGTAGGGCCTTGCACAGGCAGAAGGTGTGTTACACAGAGAAATTGTATCCATCATTTTGTGGCCTATAGTGCTGGTTATTTTGGATAAGTTTAGTAGGGTGTTATGTTGGGTCCCTTCACAGTTCAGTTACAACTTCAGATCTGATTGTGGCAAAGTGAACTTTTTGTTCAAGTCCAGATGTTGTCAAGTATTGGTATCCCATAACAAATTTTCTAATGCTGGATATGTCCCATGATGCTGAAGCAAAACACAGAATTGGAAGAGCAATGTTAAACTCAGATGCCACTTTTCAAAAAATTATGACCATCTGATTTTGTAAGAAAAGTTTCAAAGTTTAGTTGTTTTGTTGGGTTTTTCCCCCTAGGCCTTGAGAAATAGAAGAAAAGAGAGAATTGCTTTTCTACTGTTTTAAACGCTTATGCTTATATTGGGATAGATGTATGACTCTTGAAAACTGCTGATTTTGTTGCTGTTTTTACTGCCAAGGCCTATGTTGTAACAGAAATGCAAGGAGAAATAGTTACTTTGGCAGGTGCTGATCCCTCTGAAGCTCTGTTATGAGACCAGATCTCTCCATTCTGAGGAACAGAGGAAGTTAGAAGGTAGTGAAACCCAGTATAACCCCTTTCCTATGCCCCAAAGAGAAGCTGGGAAGGCCAAGCATATTTTAAGGAAGTTGTTATATAAATTGAGTAAAACCAGCAGAGTAAAAGGTTGCTTTGATTTACAGATTAATTTCTTCTAAGGGTTGAAGTTTTCTCAGATTTGCAAAGAATTTTTTGTTTCTTGTGCTTTTTGCATATTTCTGGCCATTCTTGAGTCTTGTGCATCTATATTCTCTTCCAGCTCCCACCATCCTGTCTCTTTCCTCTTCTCTCATTTGCTTTGTCAGTATGCTTTTCCATTCCTACTGCCTCAGGCAGAGGGAAGCTAAATGAACTTTACTCCTAATACTTCTTCCTCTGAAGATCCATTAATCTTGTATAGTTTCCCAAAGTAGGTGGTAACACTGGTGTTTCTCTACCAGCCTTGTCTCAGTCAGAATCTGCTAACTGAGACAGTGAAATGAGTTTTGAGACCACTAGAAATGAGCCTACACTTATATTTGCAATGATCAGCTGCATCACCTTGGAGTGTATATCTCCTCAGAAAGTTAATGACTCTCTCCTGGGCACCATGTGTGGGTTTGGGCACTGTTAGGCCATAGATGAATGAAAAAAGCCTAAAAGCTTCTGCCACTGGCCAGGAGATCCCACCCTATAAACACTGACACAAGTAACAGCAAGCAGCACTGTGTGCGTGTAACTATGCTGTTCTTAAAGCAATGGTGAAACAACTTATTCAAAATGGTACAAATAATTTTCATGGACTCTACCTAGAGTGAGGTCCTTAACTGATTCCATAGGAAATAGGTTGCCATTGGCTATGGGAGTAGGAGCACTTTCAGTGATATTTAGTGTAATCCTCCCCATTTAATTCATTCACTGAAGCCACAATTCAGTATTTCTAATGTCAGACTTAATTTCCATAGAGGCCACTGTGGCCTCAAAAGCATTGAACTGTGACGTTGCTGAATGAATCAGGCAGAAGAAAGAGGGATAATCATCAAAGAGGAAAGTGTATATGTATACATGGATAGTTGTCATTGATAATAGCTGAAAGGAAAATGCAGAAGAAATACATAAGGATTTTAATTAGGATTTTTAGTAGCACTTCTCTAGCCACACTGCATGAGTAATTACTCATCAGAGGTATAACTCAGTGTCATCCCATTGTGAGATGCTCTACCCAGGGGGAGGGACCAAGCATCTAAACCTGTATCTCTTTAGAGACTCAAAACACCTCAGCAGCCTTTCTCCTCTGAATTCCCAAAGAGAGAGACCAGACTCATCTACACCACTAGACCTTCAGAGGAAAACTACACCCTTCTACAGGATTGTTGCTTCACTCTAGGAGGACTGCAGCCACCATTTAATTGGACTACTACCAACACCCTAACTAACAGGGTGTCAGGTTGTATTCTGACTCAGTGGGTTGTTTTTTTGTTGGTTTTCTCTTTTTTTGTACAACTGCATTTTGTAAAAAAAATTCCTAGTAAAGAACTGTTATTCCTATTCCCATATCTTTGTCTGAGACCCCTTTGATTTCAAGATTATAATAATTTGGGGGTGGTGGTTTACATTTTTATATTTCAAGGGAGATTTCTGCCTTCATTAGAAGACACCTGTCTTTTCAAAACAAGACACACAGGCTGTCACTGACACTCCTAATGCAGTTCACAAGACACTCCTAATGCAGTTTTCTAAAAGTGAACAAGACCTCTTCAAGCAAACGCTCTCCCCTTTAAGCAGTGTTTCCCTTTGACAGCAGGTGCTTTAGCCCTGCCAAGACATTTTTACTATGAAGTCAGTTCAGCATCAAAGTTCTAAATGATGCATAGGATTTCATGGCTAGCTCTGTGGTTTAAATGTTATGACTGATTGGGGCAGAAGAAATGCCTCTTTATTTCACTGATACTACAGGAAAGTCTCATGTTGTGTGGAAAGAAACTACCATTTTTTTTTCTCTACCTTTTCCTCTTCGCTACACATCTGAAGTTTTCCCCCCTTCTGTTAAAGCAGTTCAGTCTAAACAATAAAGCGCCATAGGCAGACTGTACAAAGATCAGGCCAGTTCCCATGTTTATTAGCCTGAGAGTTCTGGGGTTTAATAATGGCCAAAAGACAGGCTTTCCTTGCAGAGAAGCGGGATATCAGCAGCTTTCAACCTTCAGGGGTCTGCCTTCTCTAACAAATATCCCAGTGGTGGTATTGAGCTGTGTGGTTCAAAACTTTGTCTTTCTTCTTGGATCAGCTGAAAGGAGCAGATGTCAGGAGTGCTTCTTTTCACACAACCTAGGCCTCAAAGCAAGCTTGAGGCTTGGGCTTCAGGCTGTGGGACATCATGTCCTCTGGGCATGCAGAGGGAACGTGGCCAAACCTTTTGGTACCCAGGGAGTATTATGAACACAAAGGACAACAGAGAATTGCTCTATGCACTCTTGAGAAATAGAGTGTAATTACAGCAAGGGAAACTCTGAGTGGCACAAAACATTCCTGTATGGTATTGTAGAGGGGTGAAGCAATAAAATCACAGAGGACTCTCTAACTATTTAAAGTTAGTTTATTCTGGCTGGGCAATATACCGGAGTCATCTCCCCAAGACGTGCACACCCTCCACTGCCCCTTATTCTCTATTTATTCCCCAAAGTATTACATGTGCATAGGATTACACAATACATCTTTACATATTCATTGCTTGACTCCGCCTGCTCTCATCCCGTATGGTAATGAGCTCCATGCTCTTCTGGGCATGCTCAGTTCTTCTTTTAAAATGGGTCCGGGGTCTTTTTAATGAAACCTTTATTTTCCTCGGGTTTGAACTTTTCAACTGTGTCTTGTTGGCAGCTCTCCTGGCTCTCTTGGACACAGTTCAGATCTCTTATGAGGAAAAACCATTTTCAAGCAAGATGTGAGTTACAGTGTAATGTTGGTGTTGCAGTGTGATGTTGGTTACAACATCTACCACACAGTTAATAATGTTGCTGTTTCTACCCCGATGTTCATTGTATTGAGTTCATCTCTTGCCCAAGTGTTGCGATCCCTTTGGGTGGGGTCATTGCCGCTGCTCCCCAGAACGGCATACCAACAACCTTGATAAGCAAATGAGGTGAAATGGGTTATGGGTGCTGAGAGAGCCCCTAGATCAAGTGAACCAGATGGAGGAGAGGCAACCAGATGGAGCCTCACAACCTGACCGACAGAGAAACCAGGATGTTGCTAGCCTTGACTCAGAATCCTTGCCATCACCAGAAAGTGGTTGACTGGGATGACACCCCTACACAAACAAGCCACGAGAGGTCTTCCACAGCATTCCCGTGAGGATGGAAGCCTAGGCCTGCTGAGGGGATGACTGACAGGACTGAAACTCCTCCTTCCTGGTGACCTCGTGGGAGCGGTGGCAGCGTGCGCAGCCTCCTGAGCCCCCATCCCGGAGCTGATATCTCAATAAAGGCACAAAAAGGACCCAGATGTCCTACCCATTTATTTCAAGATCCCTTGCTTGCAGGTGTAGATACGGTTCTTTTCTCTTCCTCAATAGTCCATCCTTGTCTCCTTCCAAAAATACAAGTTAAGACAAGTGGAATGATATGTATTTCCTTGGGCTATTCATTTCATTTTGGCAAGCATTGACTACTTTACATTTTTTCTACAAGCAAAGGATATGTAGCCTTGCTTTTAACTAACTACACCTTGTAATCATTAACTACCTATATCATTCCTACCTTGAATTTTCGTATGTTTCTTTTAGCTTGATTTTTTAAAGTAGCTCCTATTCTAGTTAAAATCTTAATTTCCTAATTTTCTTTACTTAGGGGAAGCTGCCTCCTTACTGGTGTAGCGCATCCCTTGCCTTACTCTGGAGCTATGTTAATCTGGCTGGTACAGGGTTAGTCCATGCTAGAGGCCAGTAGAGCAACTGGATTACCCAGGGGATTGTTTTTTCTTTTCATTTTAACTTCTGTAACTTCTAATAAGAATGCATCAGGTAGAATGTTGTTTATGTGTGGGGCCTAAAGTAAGATGGATGTTTGAGTTAGTCAAAGAAGAAAGATGCATGCTTAAAATAGAACATCTGGGTATGACTGAGATGACATTTCCCAACAGAAGATTCAGTGTTAAAGGGATATATTTATAAATACTGGGGGAAACGGGACACATGTAGATCTACCTCTACTATTTATGAGGTATCATAGTTATATTTGGGCAGAGGTTTGGAAATTATCAGCACCAGCC